TGAGCTTCAGAGTTAGAAATGAGCTCCAGAGTAGCTCATCCAAGTCTCAGAGTGTGAGAAGAGTAGAATGGGAAAAGACTATTGTAATGTAGTATACAAAAGACTATTCTTTCTCCAGGATACTATTATACAGCAAAGATGATACAAGTGAGTAGCTATACCATATAAAAGGAAAGAACACTGGACAGGGAATCAGATCTCATTTATTGGCTTAGTCATGCCCATGACTAGCTAAAAACAATCACCACTCCTCCGGATCTCAGTTTTTTCTTCTATAAACTAAGGAAGTACGATCATTAGACATTTTACCTTCCAATGCTAGCATTCTAAAATCCTGTGCCTTGAAAACAAGGTAAAGTCAAGGGTAAGACTGCTGCATATTGTGTTGTAACCTTTGATTACTGTAAAGGAAGAATCTGGGGATCTACAATATCTCTTGACATATTAATATTTTCCTGCTCAAGCTTCATAATATCTTCCTTATATTTACCACAAGAACTGATACAGTGGCTTTCTGCATAAGGTAGAAGACAGAATGGAGAGAAGAAAAGAAAATGAGCTTCAGAGTTAGAAGGATCTGAGTTTAAATTCTAATTCCCCAAATATAAGTCAGGAAGTTATTTCCCTTCTCTGAGTCAGTCATCAAAAGGACAATACTTTCCTTGTATGGATTAAATAAGATGACATATATGAAGTTTACCCACTACATTTAAAAAGTGACATTAGGACATATTTCTTCTATTTTCAACCTACCTCATAATGCAAAATCCTTTGTTATTTGAACTGTAACACTACTCCACAGACATCTTTTATAAAAGGTATCTGTAAAGGTTCAGTCTTTGTTCATTCAGTGTGGTATCTATCAATAAAAGAGAGGTAAGACAGAAGATTATATTAAATCGTTAAAGTAATATTTTTAATTTTCAACTACTATATTTCATATACCATCTCAAATCTTAATTTTCTGAGTGCTTGCAAAGCTACAGTAATACATTTTTGCTCATTAGGATAAAAATTTTAATATGAATATTTTGTAAGACTCTAATATTTAATATGCTAACATATTTTTTAGTCTACAACATACCATTCTGAAGGAAAAGTTACTGGGGCACCAGTATTGAAAGTCTGGGCTAAGAAATCCAGTCTTGGCATTTTATGTTTTAAAGCTAACAATCTCAAGAAACGCAGTCAATTTTAAGATAGCTAATGATTCCAGATACATCACCAATGTCATCTGAGAATCACATGGGGGAACCACAAACCATCTTTTTTTTTTTTTTTTTGAAACAGGGTCTGGCTCTGTCACCCAGGCCAGAGCGTGATTCTCCTATCTCAGCTTCCTGAGTAGCTGGGAGTACAGGTGCATG